TAAGGATGCCATGAGAAAGATTGAAGTGACACTTGCTGGGTGTCAGGCTTGTCCCAACTTGGTTCTTAGGAAAGAAAGACCCTCGACTCCATGGTTGAAGTGAAAGGTTCACTTTTATTGAGCTCAAGCAGTTACGGCATAAGCAAAGCTGGATCTGAATATTCCCGTGCAAAGCCTCTGTTTTTCCCTTATCCTTTCCCCCCCTCCCCTTGACCAGTCCACGAGTGTCCAATCACGTTCGTTTTAGATGTTTTGAGAATGGCTTTGAGCTTTTGGGAACGGCCTCTTTGATGTAGTTTCGTATTCCACTCTCATAGACTGTCCCTGGTTGGCTGCTTTGTTCCGGTTTGACATCTCTGGTTCCTGTCACCCTGTCATTCCCTCCCTTCCTTCCCTTGTCAATTCCCCCTCCCCCGTCCTCCCCTCCCCTGTGTTTTATGGCAGGATGCCAGTGAAGCGAGTTATACTGGAGATGGCAAGTCTGACACCGGGTTTTGGCTAAGGAAAAGAAACCACTTCCTGGACTTCTGGGATTCAATTGTTGTTGGAGATAATAGGCAATTTTTAATCGTTTGGCAGCGCTGGTTTTTTTGTTTAACCTCCTTTGATAAACTGGGCATCTTACAATTGGCTAGGACTGTAAAATCAACAAATGAACTAAAAATAAAACACAATGAAACTGGGAACAGTAAATAGAATTACAGAGTAAAAGTGTAACAAGGCCAATCTTTACATCAACCATTCAGAAATCTTCCTGGACACGTTCACGCAGAGTTCAAGCACTCTGTCTCAAATCCAGAGGGAAAACCAGGTCTTCAAGAGCCTCCGGAAGATTAGCAGGGTCAGCGCATCTGAACCTTGGAGAAAATAGTCCCAAAGGTGCTTTTTTTTCAGGAGGCAACTGGGCTTTCTTGTTTTTCTTTGAAGACGTTTCGCTTCTCATCCAAGAAGCTTCTTCAGCTCTGACTGGATGGTGGGGAATGGAAGGATCCCTACCATCCAGTCAGAGCTGAAGAAGCATCTTGGATGAGAAGTGAAATGTCTTCAAAGAAAAGCAAGAAAGTGCAGTTGCCTCCTGAAAAAAAGCACCTTTGGGACAACCATGACCTGGATGACTGAGAATCTCCGTAGACACTTGGAGAAAATAATGTCCCATGGGTCAGGCTTTGAGACATAGAAAGCCTATTTCCTGGGTTTCACAGGTGATAATGTTCATAGAAGGGACCTGAAGCCTGTTCATCCTCCCAGATCTCATGGAACAAGTACAGACATTTGCAGACAGGTAGCCTCACAAATAACTCTGCCTTGTGCCACGAACGAATAATTGAAGCTTCTTCAGTTGTCCTTTAGCTCTTAAAGAAGCTTCTTGGAAGTTTCAACTGAAGTTGTTCTTCAGTTCTTGAAGAAGCTGCTTGGATGAGAAGCAAAACATCTTCAAACAAAACAAAGAAAATCCAGTTGCCTTTTGAAAAAGCAACTTTGGGACAACCATGATCTGGACGACTGAGGCAATAATTTAAATAGTTTTCGAGGACAACCTCATGTAAAGTGCACTGGACTAGTCCAAACAGAAGATGACCAGGGTGTGAGTGACTGAGAGAATGGCACACATTTCGCACACAAGGAAGATCTGTGTAAAGCACGGGTGTCAAACTCAATTTCATTGAGGGCCGCATCAGCACTGCGGTTGCCCTCGGGGGGCCTCGGGGTGGGTGCGGCCTACTGGGTGGGCGTGGATGGAGTGGGTGTGGCCTACTGTGTGGGCATGGCCAGCTCTACATCGTTCGCGTCAAGGGTGCCTGTGGGGGCCTGGGCAGGAGTGGGACAGATCTGAGGGTCTCTGGCAGAAGGGGGTGGGACTGAGGCAAGCGCCAAGGCATGGTCCATTTCTTCATTCCTCACAAAGGGTGACACCTCCCCAGCATGCACCCAGGGGGCGGGGCCGACACAACAGGGGTTGGTTCCTCGCTGTTTCCAGATGGCCTTGTGGAGCTAAGACTGAATGCGTTTCAGCATAAATGGCCACCACAAAATTGTACATTGGCTTCTGGCCGGCCTGGGCCAGGGCCAAGGCAGTGGGGGCCGTTCCCTCACTGTTTCCAGGATGGCTTCGCGGGCCACATGAAACCACTTCGCGGGCCGCATCCAGCCCCCGGGCCTTGTGTTTGACATGTCTGGTGTAAAGGTACTCCTGATCAGGGTTGCCACCTACTCTTCCATCAGACAATATATAATATAAGACATAAGACAATATATACCAGTTCTATTCTGGGGTAGGACAACCTCATCAAGAATTAAAGGAAGGAAATCTCCAGAACCAAGAGACCCAGAACACCAGGTCAGAACTAGAAACCTTGAAAATTACAATCACTCAGTCTTGCTTGAGTTGAACCAAAGCCTCTTCTTCTCCATCCAGACCCCCACAGCCTCCAGAATCTTAACAGTATCACATGGACAACCTAGGATAGAGATGCGTGGTTGATTATCATTGGTATGTTGATATTATCTATTCCCATACTGATGAATGACCTCACCTAACAATTTCATTTATGTAATTAGAAGCTGGGAGATAGTAAAGCTCAGAAGGACCCTAGAGAAGAAGACAGTAGTGCTACTTCTCTTTCCACTACTAATATTGACTGGAACTACCCCTGAGCAGAACCATTACAGTACCATGCCTCCCACTCTGAAACCTCAAAGCTGGTCTAGAAGGAAACCATCAAAAGCTGTTGAGAAATCAAGGAAAGATATTCTTGGTACTCTCTGAACTTGGTTGTTTTCTTGCAGACATTTCATTACCCAAACTAGGAGCCCTGGTGATGTTACCTAATTTGGATAATGAAACATCTGCAAGAAAACAACCAAGCTCAGAGAGTACCAAAGATCCCTTGTTTCAATCGTGAGCTACAAATATTCTCCTTTAAATGGAGAAGAGTTAGGATACACTATCCCCATCCTGATCCCACCCAAGGACAATACCCATGCAATCAGTGCCATCTCAGTACTGCAAAGTAGACAACGTGGGGCTGATCCTGGTATGGGAAGAGGTTGAACGATTGGTCTCAAAGCTGAATGTGTATGCTCAAAAAATGTTGAAACGGGAAGCACTGGGGATGGGTTACCTTATGTGATCCATTCACATCATCTGGCTCGCCTAGCCAACCCTTGTAGTTGTTTACCCTAAACTTTGCTCTTTTTTTTCCAAATGGAAAAATCTATGAGAGTTATAAAGGGCACCCACTAGAGTGCCCTTCATATTCCAGTTCCTGGGGAAAATTGTTCATTGATCAAATCACAGCCCCACTAGTAGGATCTCTAGCTGATCAGATAATTGGGGAAAGCATTTCTCCCTTCAGTGATACATCCTTATGCCAATATCTAAGGGCATGGAGGCTCTACCCTAGGATGTCCAGCCTTGGCAACTTTAAGACTTGTAGACTTCAACTCCCAGAATTCTGCAGCCACCATGGAAACTAATCAAGGAGAGAAGCAACCTAGAACTAAGGAGAAACTTCCTGACAGTTAGAACAATTAATCGGTAGAACAACCTGCCTCCAGAAGCGGTGAATGTTCCAACACTGGAAGTTTTTAAGAAGAGACTGGACAGCCATTTGTCTGAAATGGTGTAGGGTTTCCTGCCTGAGCAGGGGGTTGGACTAGATGACCTCCAAGGTCCCTTCCAACTTGATGATGATGATGATGATGATGATGTCCACAGGTCTTTAATGTTGCAAAGGCTAGACACCCCTGCTCTACACATACCAAGGAAAACTTTTTTTCCTACAAATCAGATGGTTGGTTCCTGATGAAATCTGAACGTATATATTCATTTCTCATTATACATCCTTTAACAATCCTTAGTTTTTCCCTTATTTGCATTTATTTCAATTTTTCTGGCAGTGGCTTCATAAACTTTTCCACTGTGGCTGAGCTTCTCAGGACAAGCAGATGAGACTGTCCCTAATTGGAGCTATAGTTCTGCATTTTCTGGACCCCTCCCGCAGTATATTTTATAATCTTTCTTTATAAACTTAGCTAGAGGACAGTGTTCTCTTAAGGAGCCTACAGCCTTGATTTTGTTTATACAGATAGATCCGTTTGAAGTTAATCTCCCCATACTCTGCTGCTGGGTGGATATGGGTATGGATGGATATACATTGCTAGAATGTTTGCTGAGGTAAAAAGATAAACAGATTTGTAATGTTTGTATTTCAGTCAACCAGAGTACCAAGCCCTTTCCACAAAAATGTTTTACATTATTTAGAAAAATAGGCAGTCTATTTTTTCTTCTTTCCCTCTTCACTTGTTTTCTAACAGTTACTTTCTACTTACCACCCATCCATCCATCTCTCTCTCATCTCTTATCTATCTGTCTGTCTGTCCCTGCTGAAATTTGATACAGGATTGATTCCAAAGAGTTTAAATGAAAGAAATACTAAATAAACAAAGGTGGTTCACAGCTCAAAGCACATTGCATTTATTACATTTCTAGGCAACTGGTTCTTAGCAACTGTTTTTCACACCCACAAGGAACTCACACTGGAGATATTCTTGGGATATACCCAGGTTTCTTGGCCTTTAAGCTGTGCAGACTGCAACTCCCAGAATCTCTTGGTCAGCCTGCTGGAGGATTCTGGGAGTTGAAGTCCACTCAGGTCAAAGTTGAGAAACACTGGGATAAATTAAAATAGTCATAGTATGGTTGAAACATTCCTCATACAGGTATAGCCACTACTTCTGCAACAAACCCTCTTTAGATCTTCTCAAAAGGGTCTGAAGTGGATTCCTTGGACTGAGCTAGCAGGGGTCTCCAAACTTGGCAATTTTAAGACTTGTGGACTTCAACTCTCAGAAGTCCTCAGCCCGGCTGGGGAATTCTGCGAGTTGAAGTCCACAAGTTTTTAAGCTGCCAAGTTTGGAGACCCCTGAGCTAGCACGTTAGGATGCTGGTTGGAAGTATTTATTTAATTTTAAAATATCGTGTTCTTCTTCTGAATTAGGAGCCGTCAAGATGAATCCTCAGGTAGTTATGAGCCAGCCACAGATGGTGATGGTCCAACATCAAAGCCCTGAATGGCAAACAGGCTTACTTGATTGTTTCAATGATTGTGGAGTGTGTAAGTAACTGTATATATATATATCTCAGGGTGGAGGCAGTTATAGACTTGTTGAGACTCTTGAGTAAATCCTGGACCAAACCAAAATATTATTATGGTGGAAATAAATTTTCATTGGCATTGTGATTATGTTTACTAAAGGTAGGGCTACTGTATTTTGCTTGGGAACAGTAAGATCAATGTATTCTCTGGAAATAAATTCCATTTTTAAAAGTATGATTAAGTGAATTGCCACCATGCTAAAAGGGCAACTTCTGTTTTAACCATATTTGTTCCTACAAGCATGCTTTCAGATGGATAAAATGGGCCTTGTGTCAGGTGTGCAAATTATGATTAGCACAACCACTTATATGACCTTGTATCACAGGTAGATGTGTGAACAGAGGCTCCTTCCAGAAAAAAATGTACCATAAAATTTATTTATTACATGAATGTGCTCTAAAGTTTCTCAATAGATATCAGTTCCCTTGTTATGCAATTTTGGAAGAACAAGGGAAAATCCATCTCATTCTCCAATTTTATGTTGACTTGGCTTCTGTGGACAAAAGATAAATAAATACAGATGAAATATGCATGGCCTTTTGCTTCCACTTATGTTTTTTTAATGTTATGCCTCTAAGAAAACTACAGGAATTTTATACCCATTGTGAGATCTAAAAACTGAAGGCAGAGAAAAATTTGTAACCGCCTTATACAGCTTTTCTCACCCTGATATCCTCCAGAGCAGGCGTGGGGAACTATGGCCCTTTTATGACTTGTGGGCTTTAACTCCCAGAATTCCTGAGTCCAGCCAGCTTCCTGGCAGCTGAGATCAACATATGGTGACTGGAGAATTCTGGGAGTTGAAGTTCACAAGTCATAAAGGGGCCATAGTTCCCCACCTCTGCTCCAGAACAATATTTCTCAATCTTGACAACATTAAGAGGTGTGGATTACAACTCCCAGTCACCATATGTCAATCTCAGCTTCCAGGAAGTTGGCTGGGAAATTCTAGAAGTTGACGTCCACACCTCTTAAAGGTACCATGATTATGATTATGCTTTGTGACTCTCTTGACTTAACAAAGTCAAGTAGTTTCACAGCACTAATTACATCACCAAAGGTGTTTCTGATCCAGGTCTTTTATCTCTCCCTTGGGACTCTGGTTGATCCTGGGAAATTCAAGAGTAGGCCACAAGGAGTGCTATATACTTCCAAACATCTGACACGTGAAAAGTTATTGCCATTATTCCAGGTATCCCATGCAGCTTGTGGGGTTTACTAGGATGCACCCATAAATGCCTGTGCTGCTGTGTTCTGGATCTTCTGTAATTTCGAAGTAGTCTTCAAGGGCAGCCCCATGCAGAACACATTGCAGTAGCTCATATGGAAGGTGACTAAGGCATAGGTGACCCAGAAGAGCAATGCCTTGTATGGGAAAGGCTGCAATTGGCATACCAGTTGAATCTAGATAAAGGAACCTTGGATACAACTGCCATCTATTCAATGAACAGAGCAGAAGGACACCCAAACCTGCATTCCAGTTTTATCTAGAAGTCTGTTACGGCTAGTCCTCAGTTAACAGTGACAATTGGGACCAGAATTGATGTTGCTAAAAGACACAGTCATAAAGTTTGTTAGCCATGTGACCATGCCACTTAGCAATGTGGCATTGCAAGGAGCTTTCTGCTGCCTTCCTGCTGGCTTCCCCAGTGACTTTGCTTGTGGGAAGCTGGAAGGGAATGTCAAAAATTGCAATCACATGATTGTAGGAATTCTGAGAGCTGGTTGTAACTACCACTTGTTCAGTGTTGTTATAAACTTCAGTGGCCGCTGAATGAGACATTTTGTTTCATAACGAGCATGTGGTACTTTCTGGGAGAGAAATCTCTCTATGGGGTGATCTCACCATGTATCCACACTAAACTTCATCCATCTGGCATTTGCAACGATCTCTCCTTTCTTCTCCTAGGTGTGTGTGGATTGTTTTGTCCCCTGTGTTTGGGGTGCCAAGTTGCTTCAGATATGGATGAATGCTGTCTCTGTGGCTTAAGCATGGCCATTAGATCTGTGTATCGGACAAAATACGGCATTCCGGTGAGTAGAGGATTTCTACAGTACTTCTTTCCTGTTTTCATTTGGATTTTGCAAACACCTTTAACCTGGTTGGCTATGCAGATTGTCAATCATCCAGATTGTCCCAAAGGCGCTTTTCCAAAAGGCAACTGGATTTTCTTGGAGTTTTTTTCGCTTCTCATCCAAGAAGCTTCTTCAGTTCTTTTCCAAAAGTCCAGTTGCCTTTTGGAAAAGCACCTTTTGGATTTTAACCTGGTCCTTGAATTAAACTTTTTTCTGAATTAAATGGCAAAAGTAGCAATGGACGGATTTGCACAGCATTTTGAAGAGAGAAACCACGAAATGCAGAGGGATATGTGATCCTATCCATTTCAGTTTTTCATTGCTACGGTTTTTATTCAACTTGGGGTTTTTTTTGTAAGTTTTTTTTTCTGACTCAGATCTGATTTGCTGGATTTGAATTTTTTAAACCAAAGGTTTCTACCCAAAGGACATGTTGGTATTTAGTTGATATTTCTATCAACTTACACCAACCCAGTTTGTGTACAGAATTTTCCCAATGTAATGTGTTTTATATAGACTTTCTCTAAGTTTACCTCTTTTTTCATTGCCAAATTAGGAAAAGGGTAAAATTCATAATGATAACTTTTGACCTGTGCGTAGGTGTAAAAATTCATAAATCAGTCAATTGGCATACACGTACTAAACAAAAACTAAAAGAATTTTCTTCCTCATCACTAAAAGATTAAATATCTCTGCACTAATCAAAGTTGCCTTTTTATAAAGTAGGAATTAATTAATTAATTGTTAATTCATTCATTAATAAACTGGAGGACTCCTTCTAGAATTATGAAATTGAAGTCTCAGCAGTGATTATCTTGTCTGGGGACTTCTGAAAATTGAAATCCATATATCTAGATCAGAGGTAGGCAACCTTGGCTCTTTTATGATTCGTGAATTCCTGAGCCAAGGTTGCCAACCCTTGATCTAGATCAGTGGTTCTCAACCTGTGGGTCGGGACCCCATTTGGGGTCGATCGACCATTTCACGGGGGTCGCCAAGCAAGGCTGTCCGCCATTTTTTTTGTCCGCCATTTTTTCCCCCTTTTCTGGCGGGTGCCTTACCTCCCTTGGGCTGGGCCAGCTGGTGGTCGGCCTGCTCCGTCTCTGCCGCTTGCCAGCTACGCCTCGGCCGGCGCATGGGGCGGAACCACGCATGCGTGGCGCTCCCGGGCAGGGAAAGTCCTCGTCTTACGACCGGTTGGGTAGTCCTCGACGTACAACCGGTTTAGTCCTCGACGTACGACTGGTTTAGTCCTCGACTTACGACCAGTTGGGGTCGCGGCATTAAAAAGGTTGAGAACCACTGATCTAGATGATGAGCAGCTTGGAAAAGGGTGTTCTACAGACTGAAATATTTATGCATGACATATTTGACATGTGAACGGCTCTCGAGAATTTCGTTTGTTTATAATGTGACTCTCTCGTCGACTTGCCAAAGAATCGTTCTGCTCTTAACCTGTTTTTCTACTTACAGGGATCCCTCATGGGTGACTTTTTTGCAACAATATGTTGCCAGCTTTGTAGTCTTTGCCAACTCAAGAGAGACATCAATCAAAGAAAAGACAGGGGAATCTTCTAGAAAGGTTTGTTCTATTCATTGGACATAATGTGCGAAGCCTCAGACTTCCATTAAAGAGAAGTACAGTACCAGTAGTCCTCGACTTACGACCACAACTGAACCCCAAATTTCCATTGCTAAGCAAGACAATTGCTAAGTGAGCTATGCTCCATTTTACAACCTTACCACAGTTGTTAAGTGAATCAGTGCTGTGGTTAAGTTAGCAACACGGTTCTGAAGTGAATCTGGCCTCCTCCTTGATTTTGCTTGTCAGAAAGTCACAAAAGGGGATCACATGAACCCCCATAAATACAGGCCAGTTGCCAAGCGTCCAACTTTTGATCAGGTGGCCACGGGGATGCCGCAACGGTCATAAGAATGAAAAAGGGCCATAAGCAGTGGTGGGATTCAGCCGGTTCGCACCACTTCGGCAGAACCGGTAGCTAATTTTTTGTTGCCCAGGCCCAGAACGGACTTCCGGAAGCGGCATCCACACAGAGAACTGGTTGTTCACCTATTTGAATCCCACCACTGGTTGTAAGTCACTTTTTTCAGTGCTGTTGTAGCTTGATATGGTCACTAAATGAATGGTTATAAGTTCGAGGACTACCTGTATGGCGTAAAAGAGAAGGGAAGAAAAGGTTTTGCTGCCAAAGGAAGTTTGGAGTTAACTGGAAGTGTGCTAGTAGGAACCCACTGATACAAAAAGGTCCTCAGAGATAATTAACGTTCACCATCCTAGGACAGTTGAAGGACCCGGAAAAAAATCTTGGCGGATACAGGCACTCCTTGATTTACAGCCTACACCAGGGATAGGCAACCTTGGCTCTTTTATGACTCATGGACTTCAACTCCTAGAATTCCTCAGCCAGGCATGCTGGCTCAGGAATTCTGGGAGTTGAAGTCCACGAGTCATAAAAGGCCTACACCAAAAAATGAGAAATGGTTGCACTCTTTATTCCTGCCCACAAATCCAATAAAATAGGCCTCTAGAACCCTGCCTTCTAAGTTTGTATTATAGCTAATCCTCAACATCCCACAACAGGGATCAGAAAACTCATCGTTTAAGCAGTGTGCTTAACTGAGGCATCATATTTTACATATTTTACAACTGTTTTGCCACGGTTGTTAACTGAGACATCGTGAGTTTATGATTTGCAGCTTCCTACCAGTTTCCCATTACTTGATGGGAAGCCGACTGGGAAGGTCGTAAAATGAGATAGTGTGACTACAGAACACTACAACTGCCACAAGTGTGTACGGGTTGCCAAGTGTCCAGATTGCGATCACTTGCCCGCAGGGATACTGTAATGGTCATAAATGTGGGGACTGGTCATAAGTCCCTTTTTTTCAGCACCGTTGTAACGTCAAACAGACCCTAAATGAAGAGTCAGAAATCAAGGACATCCTGTGGTTATATATGTTAATATTTGGCTAGAGAGTACAATATTGTCAGCAAAATAGGGTAAAAAAGGTTTTAAAAAATAGAAATTTTCCTCCTGCCCTCCCCCCCCCAAATAAAAGAATTAGAAATGTTTGACTTTTTCTGAATTTTCTCTTTTCTGTTTCAGATTTGGCTGTATTCAGCAGAACATGTCCTGCCATCTCAAATCCCTCTTATGCTTCCTGGTTATCTTTTATAATCAAACCAAATCATTCTTTGAAATGATTCCCAGTAAATGTGTTCTCTGAACGATAATACACCGGACACAGAATAATACAGCATTTTAAAGAAAGATAATGTGTGCAGTTTTCTTATCGGAAATTTATTAAGATTTAAAACTAAATCTTAGACCAGTGATGGCAAACCTTTTAGAGACCGAGAGCCCAAAAACCGTCCTGCCACCCAGGCCTGCCCCCGCTCCATCCCCGCCCACGCCCCACCCGCCAGCAGGGCCACTCACTGCCTCCACAGCCTGCTACAGATCAACCAGGCAGCCCTGTAGCGCCATGGCGGCCACACCCAGCATCATCAGCGTGCGATGTGTTGCGAGGGTGGAGTCTTGTTCCTGCTACCCGGCTGCCATGTCCTTGGCTGCGCTGCTCCACACGGGCCGCGCACGGGGGTGACTCTCCTCGGTGGGGCTGCTGGGGAGGGGGGCACAGGGGGAGGCGGGGCTGGGGCGATGGTGCATGTGCCCACTGAGAGGGCTCTGAGTGCCGCCTCTGGCACACGTGCCATAGGTTTGCCACCACTGTCTTAGACCGTTTACTCACCCTCAATAAATAAGCTGTCTGATAGCAAATCTGTATACTGCCCCTGTTTCGAGTGAATACATTGGTTGGACTTCAAGGAAATGGGTGGCGAAGTGTAATAGATTCTATATACCTTACAGCAATTATTGGGTGCTATCGTCTCAATTAGGGTGAAGTGAAAGCAACTCTGAAGAAGGAAAGAAGGAGTTATTACGGGATTTTTGTGCCATATTTAGATGAAAGTGGGAAAGACTCACAGTTGCCTTCAGATTCAGTTTAATTCCAAGCAGAAGCAGTGTTTCACGTGCTTTCTGGTTAGGTACAGATAGTCCTCAACGTAAGACTCCCAAATTGAGCCCAAAGTTTCTGTTGCTAAGCGAGACATTTGTTAAGTGAGTTTTGCCCCATTTTACGACCTTTCTTGACACTGTTGTTAAGTGAATCATTGCAGTTGTTAAGTTAGTAACATGGTTGTTAATTGAATCTGGCTTCCCCATTGACTTTGCCTGTCAGAAGTCGCAAAAGGGGATCACGCAATCGCAAGACAGGGCAATCGTCATAAATATGAACCAGTGGCCAAGTATATGAATTTTGATCACATGACGATGGGGATGCTGCAATGGTCATAAGTGTGAAAAACGATCATAAGTCACCTTTTTCAGTGCCATTGTAACTCTGAAAGGTCACTAAACAAACTGTTGTACGTTCGGGATTGAACTATTTACTTGGAAATTAGGTTATCTATTACTTTATATAGCGCTTTCAATGCATCCAAAATTTGAATAGAGTGACTAGAATAGAACTGGAAGGGACCTTGGAGGTCTTCTAGTCCAACCCCCCGCTCAAGCAGGAAAACCTATACCATCTCAGACAAGTGACTCCCTTGAGGAGCACCCGGAGGCTCCAGTTGGTCCAAAATGCGGCCGCGCGGGCGGTGTTGGGAGGGACTCGTCACTCCCACGTTACGCCGCTTCTGCGCGAGCTGCATTGGCTACCGGTGGCCTTCCGGGTGCGCTTCAAGGTGATGGTTATTATCTTTAAAGCGCTCCATGGCACCGGACCTGGTTACCTCCGAGACNCGCCCTCAAGACGTGGTTGTTCCAGCAAGCGGGACTGGCCTAGGGGATTTTATAGGGGTTTTAATTACTTTTAAATTTGACATTCTCAAATATTTCATTTTAATTAAATTTTAACTAGGTGTAATATGTTAGCTTTTTATCATTTGTCAGCCACCCTGAGTCCGAAAGGAGAAGGGCGGGATATAAATACAATTAATAATAATAATAATAATAGGCAACCTTGGCTCTTTTATGACTCGTGGACTTAAACTCCCAGAATTCCTGAGCCAGCCATGTTGAAGTCCACGAGTCATAAAAGAGCCAAGGTTGCCTACCCCTGGTCTAGTCTCTTCTTAAAAACCTCCCGTGCTGGAGCACCCACGATTTCTGGGGGTAAGCTGTTCCACTGTCAAGAAGTTTCTCCTTAGTTCTAGGTTGCTTCTCTCTTTGATCAGTTTCCAAACATTGTTTCTCATCCTTCCCTCTGGCACTTTGGAAAATAGTTTGACCCCCTCTTCTTTGTGGCAGCCCCTCAAATGCTGGAATACTGCTATCATGTCACCCCTATTTCTTCTTTTCTTTAGACTAGCCAAACCAAGTCCTGCAGCTGTTCTTTGTATGTTTTAGTCTCCAGGCCTTTAATCATCTTAGTTGCTCTTCTTTGAATTTTTTCCAAACTCTCAACATCTTTTTTATGATATGATGACCAAAACTGGCTGCAGTATTCCAGGTGTATTTTATGATATAAAGTAGGAAGAAATGAGCAATTGTCCAAAATGTCAGGAAAACAATAAAAAAATAAATAACAGACGAGGATCACTTCAGAAGAAAAGCTACTTCCAGTATTTGGAGGAATGTCTAAGGCAGGACATCAGTACATGCACAACAGTAACCATTGGTTATATATTTATCAGAGCATGATTTCAAAATGAGCCCGCCAAACATATGAAAACTCCAAAACTGCATATTACTACAACTAATAATAATGTTACTATTGCTAGTTTTGTGATAGGTTAGATCAGGGGTAGGCAACCTTGGCTCTTTTATGACCCGTGGACTTCAACTCCGAGAATTGGTGGCTCAGGAATTCTGGGAGTTGAAGTCCACGAATCATAAAAGAGCCAAGGTTGCCTATACCTGGTATAGATAGTATGATAACGTGTCACAATGTACAGAATTATATCAGACATCCTTCAAACAGATTGGCAGATAGCATTGATATGCTATAAAGCTCACACAAGACACCCACAGATAGGAAGATATCCATGCAACAAACATGTGCATATTCACCAAAGACATATTCTAAACCAGTCCTTCCCAAATGTTTTCATTCATTACCTAAAACTGTTGATCAGAAATTCCTTTTTATTGAATGTAGGTAAAACACTTTAAGTCAATATAAATGTCCCTGTTGTGATTGGGTAATGGGATTTTGTGTATCACTATCCAAAGAAAACCCACTTTTATCCAATTCTGTGTAATTTACTCAGGTTTGAGAAGCAGATTTGACCCCCTAAACACTATGAAGTCCTGCATCCCAGTGACAGCTCAAACAGTTCAAACATAAACCTGCTGGACATAACTGATATATTTGCCCACAACTCTAAATAGACATACTGTAAGGTCATCAAATAAAGCCATCTCTTAAACAGAGGAGATATTATCAAGACTAGGAAACAAGTAACTGCACAGCTGACGACTCAGTGGTATGAGGAGGACCCAGGATTGAAATGTTGAGATTAATACATACAAAAGGCAGGATCCTTATGTGTCTTTAGATGGGTAACATCTCGCACAGTATGTATGGGTTGCTAAACATCTGCATTAGACCTAATAGTTTAATATTCTTGTCTGCTTTGGTGTGCAAAGCATAGAACATAGAATAATAGAATTGGAAGGGACCTTGGAGGTCTTCTAGTCCAACCCCCTGCTTGTATTTCAACCCCCTAGTTGGTTGTCCAGTCTCTTTTTGAAAGCCTCCAGTGAAGGAGCACCCACAACATTTGTCCGAAATGGTATAGGGTTTCCTCCCTGAGCAGGGGGTTGGACTAGATGACCTTCAAGGTCCCTTCCAACTTTACTATTATTATTATTATTATTAGATAACATCTGAAGGTAAGTTATTCCATTGGTTAATTGCTTTCACCGTTAGGAAATTTCTCCTTAGTTCTAGGTTGCTCCTCTCCTTGGTTAGTTTCCAACTATTGTTTCTTGTCTTGCCTTTTGGTGAATTAAGCAGAGAATCTAATTTCCATACATGTAAAAAACAAAAGTTTCATATCTATTCATACATTGATAATCTGCCTGGAAGAAAGAGGAAGCAATGTAACGTCTCTTTTTCTCCTGATGATCAAATTTCTGATAACGGTTCCCACTCAGCGGTTCCTACCCAGTTCCCATTAGCAATAGGAAAGCACTAATATTCTTCTTTATTGTCAGAAAATGGGTATTGCTAGGTTAAGGGGATCCTCTTATGTATTAGCCTTCTGCAAGATTTGGGTCTGCAAGATTTGAGGTGAAGCATTTGAGATGAAAATATGATTCAATCAACTGGGGAGAAAAATATGTGTATATGGAGGAATTCAGAACAAATATATTGAATTACACTTGATTTCAGAAGAGGAACCGCTGAAAATTGAAGGTATTTGTTTAAAAAAAAAAAAGGAAGTTGGAATCAAGAGAGATAAATATCTCCAGAATCGTTGGGGCTTACTTAAAATGTAATAGAACCGTTGCTGGAATAAATACCACAGCTCAGAAAGTTTTCTTGAAGTAAAAGAGGATGCCATCATAGTTAGCAATAATGAATATATTAATAACGAATGCTTCCAAAACTGAAACATTGGTCCAAATGAATAAAATGAATTACAAAAAGAACACAATTTTCAAAGCAAGGACAAATAGAAAGCAAACAATTCCTGAGCTCATGAGCATTCTTGTAAGAAAAATCTGAAACTTTGATCTTCTAAAAATATATATGTAACTAGCTGTACCCGGCCACGCCTTGCTGTGGCTCATAGTGTGTGTTGCTTTTATGTCCAACAGATGGTGCTGTTTTTTTTAAAAAAAGCATGTTTTTACCTGTCACAGGTGTGACATCTATATAATAGTAGGTATATAAAAACATGTGCATATTCGAATGCAACGTTGTGTCAAAATTTCAAAGCAATTGGTGAAGAACTTTCGGAGATTTAAGATTTTGAACAAACGAACAGTTACATTTTTATTTATATAGATAGATATACTCTCTGTCCCTGTCATGCCTCCAGCATAGAGTTTGTATACTGTATTTGTATTGCTGTTATTGTTCTTTAACATGTATTGAGCTCCATCTGGTGGCCAAAACCAAATCTTTCATTGTTTGGAAAGTTGATTTTGTGATGTTTGCACACACATCCTCCCATCCTCCCATCGTTTCTGGAAAAAAGATGCACCGTGAGAAGCCAGATTCCATTTTGTAGCATTCTGAGGTAACAGAAGTATCTAGAAGATTCCAGCTTAGTCCGTGACAAAATCTATAACCCATATATGGCATCGCTATTTCACCTTATCTACAAGATTTCAGCTTAGTCCGTGACAAAATCTATAACCCATATATGGCATCGCTATTTCACCTCATCCTATTGTCTATGGAGATTCTCAATCATCCAGGTCATGGGTGTCCCAAAGGTGCTTTTTCAGGAGGCAACTGGACTTTTTTTTTTTCTTTGAAGACATTTTGCTTCTCATCCAAGAAGCTTCTTCAGCTCTGACTGGATCAGACATGTCAAACTCGCAACGTCACATGATGTCGCGCAACATATCGGCACTGTTTTGCCATTGCCGGCAATGGGGTGGGCGCACGGCTTCCGCATAACGTGTCCGGCCCACAGGCCGGCAGTTTGACACCCCTGGACTGGATGGTGGGGAATGGAAGGATTTATATTCCTTGCAGACAGCTGGTCATTTGCCTTCTTTTAGAGAGTCGTTGAGGCCACTTGGAGTTTTACCTGTGTCCTCAGGGTACCTCCTGAGTTGTCCAAATGTGTGGGGAGCCTTCTTGGCTGCAGGATGTTTTCTTCCCTGTGTCCCTTCACTGTTGAAGACAGGCACAAGCTGTTCGGGATGAGTCTGTGTTGCCTGCACCATTTGCACTTCAGTTTGAGATGCAGACAACATAGGAAAATGCTAGGATGATTTTTGTGTGTGTGTGTGTGTGTGTGTGTGTGTGTAAATGTCTGTCTTCAAAAAGCAGGAACCCACTTCAGTATTTTCGATCTCCAGGTACTTTTTTTTAATCATAAACATCTAATTACTTTGCTGGGAAACAGCACAGGTTTCCAGTTGTTATGCTGAAATAGCTCTGTAATTATCCTTTGATCTGACACATGCCACAGCTGCTTCTAAGTGCTTGGTTAAGTGGCAACTGTGTCACTGAATGCACCTCTCCGTAATATAACAAGCTAATAGGACTTAAATAGGAAGCCTCGAAAATCTGGGAGCTGCCTTGAAAAACAAAACGGATGGTAATCTGAAAATTAATTTTCACTTTTCCAAATCAGAAGATGGCGACAAGAAAGAGTTCCTAGCAGAAGAAGATCCTAACTCCTCAAAAGCATTATCACAGGTCAGATACAGAGTTAATTTCTTTGATTTTTCGAATCTGATTTAGTTGCCAAAGATGGACTGATGCAAAATGCAGAAGGTGCTGAGAATTAGAGCAGGGGTCCCCAACCCCTGGTCCGTGGACCAGCACCGGGCCATAGCATGCTAGCAACCGGTCCGCACAAACAAGCAAAGCCCCATCCGTGGGATGCAGGCAGCACACAAAACCACGCACCCTTCAGTCCGTGGAAAAAACTCTCTCCATGGAACCGGTCCCTGGTGCCCAGAAGGTTGGGGACCTCTGCATTAGAGGACAGAGTTACAAGAGAACGATCTGGCAAATAATAATGTCCCAGATTAAAATGATAAGGATGGTTTCATGGATAATACAATATTGTATTTTTAATGCTAATCATTTTGGAATGAACCTTAATATGACTTGCTTTAAAATCCCATTAGCTTTGGATCAGATCTGTGTCGTAGGCTATTGTTTTCAGTAATTCTTGAAAATAGGTCTTCATAGCAGGGAAGTTTATAAAAACTTTAGAACGTGTAGCAGTGTGCTATAGAATTCAATATTTACTTGTTTTTCTGACTCAGATTGAGTGAATACCAATTCTCCAGATCTAGTCTTCTTTACTACCCTTTATCATCACTCCCTCTGATTATGACTTATGAGTAGCACTTATTTCTAAAATTTCTAAGATTTGGAGGAGTTACAAAACCAGACCTATTTATGGGCAAGATAGCCTTTTTAATAGGTGTTTATGGAAGTCATAGTTGTCCCAAAGATGCCTTTTCATGAGGCAACTGAACTTTCTTCAGAAGAGAGCTAAGGAAGCTTCTTGGATGAGAAGCAAAACGTCTTCAAAGAAAAAAACAAGAAAGTCCAGTTGCCTCATCATCATCGTAATAATAATAATAATAATAATAATAATAATAATAATAATAATAATAATAATAATAATAATAATAATAATGATGATGATGATGATGATGATGATGATGTTGGGAGGGACCTTGGAGGTCATCTAGTCCAACCCTCTGCTCAGGCAGGAAACCCTAAAGGATTGTTTTGGCCCAATAATTTAGTCTTAGTCTTTTGCTTAATGGCTGGGCCAAATATAGTAGGGCAATCAGATCAGGGATCAAATCTGTGGCTGAATTCGAACTCCCAACATTCCTCAGCCTTGGCCATGCCGACTGACCTGCTGAGAGTTTATTTATTTGTTCAATTTATCATACCCTTCCATCTCTGCGCAGGTCACACAATTAAGAATAGCCAACAAACCCAAAACAGATGCAAATAAGTAACCCAAAACAATAACAAAAACCATTAAAAGCAAATTAAAGCTATTAAAATTGATCCGACAACAATGGTAAAGTGATAGATTCCTTATTTTTGCATACTGGAACTTTTAAGCTGATATGATATTATTGAAAATGCTTATGAAGATGCTGCTTTCTGAATCCGCTATAGGAATGAGTGAATGTGCCAGGCTAGGGAATTCACAGCCTATGGAGAAGTTTTGTGAGCCAGAGATACCCAGTTATGAACTCTGGAACCCAAGTCATAAAAGGGCCAAGCTTGAAGACCCCTGGACTAGAAGGAAGGGAGGAAGAAGCAATTGGCTGAGTGCAGAGGGCACCACTCTTTCAAAATGACAGAGGACAATTGGACATTCAGTATGGCTCTATCCCAGTTTGAAACAAAGATTCTCACAATACCAATTTGTGTATCTGAAAGATTTCATCCAAGAACGGAGTCCAGCAAACAGATCCCATTCTGTGGAGTTGGGACTGAGACCATGTTCTACCAAGCCTGTTAATTAATCTCTTCTCTTTTGGGTTCTCTTCTTTCTTTTTCTTAGAATATTACCCACAATGAATGTTCAGCCAACGGTTGTCACTCAGCCACAGACGGTGGTGGTGGTGGTCCAGCCCAAGACAAACCATTGGCAAACGGACTTATGTGACTGCTTCAGCGACTGTGGAGTTTGTAAGTGACCAGGCCAATAATTGAAAGTGGGGTTCTCAAAGCATTCTTAGGAACTTGGGAAGATTGGGCTGGATATTCTTCCAGACTGGATAGGTTACAGAAATAAATTATTCGTTATAATCTGAGCAATGGATGTTTCACTGTTGAACAGCCCACTGGATTGGAATTAGGATGGCAAGAAATAAAAGGAGACACCGCTTCTCTTCTATTAAAAATTGTGTAGAAGATGGAATTTTAAAGTTCTACGTGTAGGAGATGACAGGCTGAGCCCGAGGGTGGGGTTAAATGTATCACCAGTTTGGAATCACTATGCTCCCACAAGAAATCTAAATCCAGCCCCCCATGAATTCGGTTGACTCTTATTTAGCACCAATCTGCCTTGACCATTAGTAGATCAGATTCTTGTGTGTCAGACTTCACCCTCTTATGCCCACATAGGGATTCCAGACTAGTTCCCTGTTTGATTCCTCTCCCTGGCTCAGCCAGTCTCTCTTCAACGGTAATTTTCTTAATTCTATTTCGTAATAGTTGGGAACATCAGCATACAGAAAAATGCAATGGGGTGCCCTTTTAATTTAATGTGGCTTGTACATTAGCTTTTTCAGTCCTCCCCTCTGTTAGATAATGTTTTAACTAGCATTTGCAATTGCAGTTTTAATGTTGCAGCAATAGCATCATTTGCATTTTCTGGATGATAAATCTTATGTCATTCAACGCTTTGCCAAAATCGTTTTTACAAAGGCCTTTCCTTCCTCCCTCTAGGTCTCTGTGGAATGTTCTGCTTCCCTTGTTTGGCAGGCCAAGTTGCTACAACTATGAATGAATGTTGTTGTTGCGGATCATCTGTGGCCATGCGGGCTGTGTACAGGACAAAATACAATATCCCTGTAAGTAGATTATGGGTGGCTGTGGAATTCTGGGAGTTGAAGTCCACAAGTCTTAAAGTTGCCAAGTTTGAAGACCCTTGGATTAGACAAACTTCGGGTTTCTACACTCTAGTTCAAACCCAAAAAATCAAACTAGAATCTGCATTCGTTATCTGCAGTAGATCATAATCTTTCAGAATTATAGGAATAAAAATAAAAATGACATTTGTTGCACGCCAAACATAACTATCACTTCTATCTGGCCCACAAGGATGGGAAGGCAGAATATGTTACAAGTCCCATCGATTAGGGATTGTCATCTGTGGATCATGAAAAAAGACATTCTTCGTGGTAGCCCCTCTGTGCCCTGCTATTTTTCTGAAAGGCCCTAAAAACATGTTTTGTTAGTGGACCTGAGGACCATAAGTAGAAATGGAGCTGATTTTGTGGTTAATTTGATTGTGTTGCTGCTGCCACTGGCATTGGGCGAAGTGGATTTTTTAAAATAGGTTTTTCTAATGTAATGGATTTCTGTTGTTAAGTGAGACGTTTGTTAAGTGTGTTTTGCCCCATTTTACAACCTTCCTTGCCAAAGTTGTTAAGTGAATCGTTGCGGTTGTTAAGTTAGTAACATGGTTGTTAAGTGAATCTGGCTTCCCCATTGACTTTGCTTGTCAGAAGGTCACAAAAACTGATCACATGATCCCAGGACATTGTAGCCATCATAAATATGAACCAGATGCCAAACATTTGAATTTTGATCACATGAATCATGGGGATACTGCAGTGGTCGTAATTGTGAAAAACGATCTTAAATCACATTTTTCAGTGCCATTGTAACTTTAGACAGTCACTAAACAAACTGTTGTAAGTCAAGGACTACCTGTATTTTGCCATCCAACCTAGAGCTAGCTTCTCGTAATTCCATATCTCTACATCATGATTTTATTGAAAAAGTTATTGATTCATTTGGTTTCTTTTTTTTTCAACAGGGATCCATCTGTGGGGATACCTGCATTGTGGGATGTTTCCCCACTTGTTCTCTCTGCCAAGTCCAGAGAGATATCAGAAGAAGAAAACAAATGGGGATATTCTAGAAGACTCCACCCTAAGCTCCTTTGGACCTTTACATTTGACCTTTTTAAAATTAGAATTCTGAGAAGTAAGAAATAAGTAAAGTAGTTTGTAGGGAGAACCATTATTTAGAGGCACCCATGCTTTATAATTCTAAGCATATTCTTAACCCAGAAATTAAATTTTAGTACTGATTCAGAGCTCAAAATCCAAGCACACAAACCTGCTGTTGTTTGTCCTGTCCTTGATCTTTGCTTGATCTCCCAATTTCAGTTACAATGGAAAACAAAACATTTTTGGTTGCTGCTGATCTTAAACAATTAGGATTTTTTTTTAAAAAAAAAAGCCCTGCTACACCTTTGAAGATTTATTGGGGGATCTACCATTCTGCCTTTCCCGTTTTAGGGCTACTGGTGGTTTTGGTTTGCAAGATGTAGTAACTGGAGAAAACAAGGTAAAATTGCAATCTAGAGCCATTGGCATAACTAGCCTACCTGGAAGTGCTTGCTGTCCAGTTGTGGGGGGCTAGAACTATCATGATTCCCAGCCGTCGCAGCTTTGATTTAAAGGAGATATAAAACAACATATATGGAGAGCACCATCTTAAGAAAAACTAGTGTACGTGATTGTTTAGCTAGTAAACGGTATTGTTCTTACTCTCCGAGCTAATGGTACAACCTTTCCTAATGCTGCTGTGGGAAACTGCCAGTCAAGCTGGAGAGAGGAGTCAAGTGAGGACCTAGCTTGGAATCCTTGAGCAGCGGCAAGCACATAAGCTTGACCTCCCCCAAGATCCATGAAGCCTTAGCTGGCTATTCCCAGGGGAACACAAGCAGTCTAGTAAGAGTCTTGTAACGTAGGAGATAGACGATAAAGTTACTGCCTTTTGTTATTCATTAGTGGTTCCCGTTGGTTACCACCTGACAGCTGGTAGTCTCTGTTCCTTTCCACCACTATGATGGAGTTTCACCTCTCTCAGACTGTCATATCTCATAGTTAAATTGAAGCCCTTTTAGTTGAAATTCTTCTCAGGACAATGTTTTCTATACCTCCATTTATCAACATCCGACACTGAAGTGGTAGGTGGATGTTAGAATCATATGATTCATGAGGTGTCCTCCAAAAACAGATATGAACACAGAGTGTGCACTCTCTTGAAGTCACGCCAATGCTATCATTAAAGAGAGTGTGTAGGTGTGGGAGTTACTTTGGAGGCTAGAGTTTCTTAAGGCAGAAATGTCTATGGAGATTCTCAGTCATGCAGATCATGGTTGTCCCAAAGGGGCATTTTTCAAAAGGTACCTGGAAAAACAAAGTCCAGTTGCCTTTTGAAAAAGCACCTTTGGGTTGGGACAGAAATCTCAATTATGTCAAGAAGCAACTGACTTGATTTGCCATTTTCTCTCCCTACTAATTTGACTTTGTAAGCTTGATTGTCTAAAAGTCTATCAATAACATAATCTGACTTTACTCAGGGTCTTTATACTCCAAGATCTATATTCACTGTTTCTATGCTCCTCCTATGGTGGGTAACAGAACAACGTTACCATCCCAGGAAATAGCATTTCCAGCTGTGATCCAGCATTACAACTGTTTAATCTTCCTGTGTCTCTTGTAGTTGACATTGTTACACTAAAGAATTGTTTTGGCCCAATAATTTAGCCTTCGCCTTTTGCTTAATGGCTGGGCCAAATACAGTAGGGCAATCAGATCAGGGATCAAATCTGTGGCTGAATTCGAACTCCCAACATTCCTCAGCCTTGGCCATGCCGACTGACCTGCTGAGAGTTTATTTATTTGTTCAATTTATCATACCCTTCCATCTCTGGGCAGGTCACACAATTAAGAATAGCCAACAAACCCAAAACAGATGCAAATAAGTAACCCAAAACAATAACAAAAACCATTAAAAGCAAATTAAAGCTATTAATATTGATCCGACAACAATGGTAAAGTGATAGATTCCTTATTTTTGCATAGTGGAACTTTTAAGCTGGTATGATATTATTGAAAATGCTAAGAGCTTATGAAGATCCATGTGTAATTATTTTGTACAATAAGTATTTAACTTTTAAAGAGAGGTGTGCTAACAAAAAAATATATGAAGCAATGAAGGTTATTCCCGCTGATGATAGTATATAGTAGTATTTCCCAGTCATGGAATTCCCAAGAGTGTGGACTTCAACTCCCAGAATTCTCATCACAAGCTATATTGGCTGTGGCATTCTGGATATGAAATTTAGACACCTGGAACTTGCAGGTGGTATCATAGCAAATCATTGGGTAGACACTACTGTCCCCTTATGGTGAGACCAGGAACCACAAACCTGGTGTTTTTTAATGCTGATTTTTAAAAACAATATAAAATACTGGCCTGGTTCATAAAATACATTAATGAGGCTTCTTGGTTTTGGTTTAGGACAGCATTTTCATCATTGGTAACTTTAAGATGTGTGGATTTCAACTCCCAGAATGTTGGCTGGGGAATTCTGGGAGTTGAAATCCTCATAGCCTAAAGTTGTCATTGAGAAGCATTGATCTAGCTATTCCAGTCCTGTTATTCGCTGGAGGGTTCCCATCCAGTTTCCTAACCTGAAATTCTGTTTAGCTTCCAAGTACAGACAAGATCAACCAGACATTAGCTAACCATCTATGAGAGGGGTCTTCAAAGTTGGCCTTTTTTTATATATATTGAAAATTTTATAAAGTTTTACAATATAAATCCCCCCTCCCCCCAAACCCAACCCTCCCTCCCTCCCCCCCCCTCACTTCCCAGAGCCAATACAGGATTAACAATAAAATAATCATGATCTAACTAACATTAATCAACTATTAGTCTAACGAATCTATAAGTTCCTTTAACTCTCTTTTAAAACAAATATACAATTATTAAACATCATTTTAACATCATTTTAAATATTAAAAATCAGAAGTTCACTCAAAAACCAAATGATATTTTTTGTTCCATATTTCAACTCAATATAAACAATCCATCTTCTCCAAACCAATATATATCTTTCTTGTGAGTAATCCTTCACATAAGCGGAAATCTTGGCCATTTCTGCTAAATTTGAGACTTTAACTACCCAATCTTCTATAGTAGGTATACCTTTCAATTTCCAATGCTGAGCAATTAGCAATCTTGCAGCCATTATAAGATTTAACATCAACTCCATTTCTTTTACATCCAAATCTTCCAAAATACCCAATAAAAATATCTGTGGTTTAAACTTTATCTTTTTCTTAAAAATATTTTGAATGTTCCACCAAATCTTAATCCAAAATGCTTTAACCACCTTGCACGTCCACCACATATGAAAATAC